TCTAATTTTACAGGAGAGTAAGAAAACGGTACAAAAAATATGTACACATGCAGCAAGTATATTCGTGCCTTAATATGATAAAGTAATAAAATAATATTTGTTGGAAAACAGAGATAAAACTCAACATTTCGTTAAAAATGTAAAAATTATGTATTAACCTGATTATTTAATTAACGTAAGAAATGGAGTTAGCAGGTCAACACGTTTCATTGCCGATATATTGTTTTTACTGCTGCCAGTTGTTACTTACAGTTGTTACTTATAATATAAACTTTTTTTAAAAATAATTACAAAAAAACATAAACTAAATAAAAATAGCAGTCATGTGTATCTATAAGAAGCAAAATAAAACAACAAATGACTTATTTTTACGTGTGTGGCCTTACAAAAATACGACCATCGTAATTCAGAAAAATGTATCTATTTAGACATGATTCTATCTATAATCTATAATATTTTAACAATTATATTAATATTTAATAAACAATCTACCAAACAAAACAAATAAAATAAAATAAAATAAATATTTACCAATGTATCCAAAACTTTTGGATCCCAGTTTATTTGTTTAGGTACTGCACCTTTCTCTGCATTTAAAACAGTCTTTTTAGGACTACCTTGGACTCTCTTTGGAGACTATTTTTTTATTATCAGAATCAGAATGTCTATAGACAAAGACAAAACTATATCCAATTCGTTACTTTATCGCACCTGTTCTCTGCCTGATTCGGAGTGGGTGTCCTTGTGTCCGGATCGGTCGTGGTAGCCTCGATATCGAACAGATTCGGGTACAGCCTGCCTACCTTAGGGGGCGACACTTTGATCCTTTTCACGTCCTCTAACGCAAATGCCACTTTGGGACTATCCGCGTCAGCTGTAAGGAAAAGACAAACATTTTCATTCTTGAGGTCGGCTGGTTTAAAGTCTGAAACCGAAGGATTTTTGTTTGCCTGCCAGGATGGTGTGATTAACACCTTGGTCTATCATAGCCAATTCTCACAACACTCTGAGACCCTGATGCACCTATTGTCTGCTTGCCCCGTATACGCTGCCACCTACATCCAACGGCACAACGCAACGTTAGGTGTGCTATACTACCATCTACGGAACCAATAGGGTATTGATGAGACGGCGATACCGCCGTTTGCTTTGGACGACACTGAGGAGGTGGTGGAGAATGGCAACTGCCGAATATATTGGAATTAAGCATTTCCCATCATAACACGCATTCAGGCTAACACAAACCTGACATAGTCCTATTAGACAAACAGTGCAATTCCATACACGTTATAGAATTTTCCGCCCCAGCAGAAACTAACATCAAGATCAAAAATAGAGAGAAGAAAACCTAATACCAACAGCTACTGGGAGAGTTACGCAGACTCTATCCTGAATGTCGCGTCCATCTTGTAGTGTTAACTATCGGTGTTTTGGGTGGAATCAAAGACACTTTACTAACGGAACTACAGAGAATACCAAACTGTAAAGAGTAATCCGAAAATCTGGCCACCAACATGCGTGTTATCCTGGGATCCCTAAGACTTTTGAGGCAGATGAGTTTGGCTGACAATCACTGACCGAGCGGACGCAAGGAGTGAAAATCTACGTTTCGCCATCCGCATGACGTCTTGTCGAATCGGAGCTACAAGAGTAGTCGGAATTATATAAATGTGTATGTTAATGTGTAATTATATAAATACGTATATCGGAATTATATAAAAAAAACTGCAATAAAAAAGAAGGGGTACCCTAAAGAAAACTGCGCATCAAAACAAAGAAAATCAGTCAATATCAAAAAAACAAACAATAATAAATTAGGAAAAACCAACCAAATCAATCCCCCCCCCAAATATCCAACCTAACCAACCAAAGCAACCCCCAATAAATAACCAGCCAACCAAAAACATTGAAACCAACGGAATCAAATCACGCGGTTACCATGACGAAAACTGCCCATGCTAAATATGACTATATTTTCTAAATTTTCGTAACAGCACACTTAGAAGTTAATAATAATATGTTTTATGGGCGGAATTCATATATTTTTTGATAGTTACTTGCTTTTAAAAAATATACAGAATAAAAGTGTAAAAGTTGTTCAAAATTGAAGTCGCCATATTTATGTTCTGAATGACATTTAATGCGGTGTTGCCAGAGTGTGGTGAAATTTCAAACAAGGTTATATACAAAAGTAGTAGTTATATGCAATCAACAGAATACACTTATAGCGTTAACAACCATCGCTAGTGATGTGTACCACTATCGAGGTTCCGCAAAAAAATCGATAATATATAAAAACGTATAAACGATATAAAGAAAAGAAATGTAACGAAAATATTTTCGTTACAAAGTGCTGGCTGAGGCGCGCCGCTGACTCAATAGAAGGATCGATACGGCCACCGAGTGGGGGTTTAAGATTATTATTGGTTAGGATTGTATGGTCAACTCTGACGCGTAGCGCATCTCTCGCGTAACTCTGACGCGTAACACGTGCCCGACGACATCAGAAGTGGTTGAGAACATTTAGTGTTGGTGTTTTGTGAAGTTTTATCTGTTCCAAGTTCAGATACTCAGTTATAAATCCCAATCGCAGAAAAAATCATGTTGTGAGTGTCAAGTCTCAATAGTACAAAACACCGGATAACACAGTACACGTCCACAGTACTGTTGTCTACAGTACTTTTGAAATAGAAAAACGACATTATCATAGAAAAACGACACTTGAGGACCGATACTGAAGGCTCCAGTAGACCATATGAATGGTTGGTTTGTTTTGGGTGAAAGTTTCTTCAAAAGGAATTGTCTGTTTAGAGGATATAATGATCCAAAAGTTAAGGTAAATTAATTAAAAATAAAAATAATTAATAAATTGGAACGAGACCCTCAAATAACCCATTGGTTTTGCTATATCACAATTTTGGTAGCCATCTCAGGCAAAACAGTGATCGCCATCTTAGGCACAATTTTGGTTGCCATCTTAGGCAAATGATCGCCATCTTCGGCACAATTTTGGTCGCCATCTCAGGCACAATTTTGGTAGTCATCGCAGGCAAAACAGTGATCGCCCTCTCCAGGCATACTGACCGCCCTCTTCCAGGCATATTGATCACCATCTTAGGTAAATAGATAGATATATAGATAGATGATTTTGCCCTCTTAGGCACACTGCTCGCTCTCCTATCGATTACGATAGGCATATCGATCACATTTTAACGCCAAGTCTCTGATCTTTGGCTCTCGGGTTGAAAATGAAAAAGGAAGAATAATGGAAGAATGGTTAGCCAGTAATGACCTCGTGGTCATTAATCGAGGCCATATCCCCACATTTATGAACGCAAACGGAGAGTCCCTTATAGATATTACCATCGCTACTAATAAAATTAGTAATCAGATCACAAACTGGCATGTCGTCGAAGACATCGAGAACCTTTCTCTCCATCGATACATTAGATTCGATGTAGTCCTAAATACACAGGGAACTAAAACCAACACCTCTAAGCACGGTTGGCGAATAACCACCAACGGACTACTAAATATAACTGCCACAACATTACTGCCTGGAACACGGCCTCAAGATGAAGTGTCCCTCGCCGAAAGGACTGGATAAATGTTTCAGAAAATTAGGAAACACATTTCTGCTAAATAAAAGGCAACCATGCAGAAAACAGGTTTACTGGTGGAACCACGATATTATCACCAAAAGGAACGACTGTATTAGACGTAGACGTACTCTGACAAGACTTAAAGCACACGACCCAGCTAATGTGGAAAGTGCCCGAGAAGAGTATAGGCTAGCTAAGAAAGCTATAAAATTAGAAATTCTTAGAAGCAAAAATGGCGAGAGCTATGTGATGAGCTAGACACCGACGTGTGGGGTAAAGCATACCAACTAACGATGAAAAGGTTCTGCAAAAACTATCAAGCACCTCGTGCTATAAGGATCATAGAAGAACAAATTGCGACGCTGTTCCCGAGTATGCCGAATATTACATGGCCAGTTAATCCACCAACAGACGTTCTCCCAGGAAGAAGTACTTACAGCCGCCTGCAAGCTTAAAAATCGGAAAGCACCTGGTCCGGACACCATCCCGATAGAAATTATTAAAATCGCTACCATGTAAGATACGCCTGCCGTAGCTGAAGTCATGAATAAATGCCTTATGCTTGGCCAATTCCCAAAACCTTGGAAAGTTGCAAAGCTGGTCCTTATCGAAAAACCGAAAAGGGAGAACGACCATACCAAAAAATATAGACCAATTACTCAATTAAACCTGTTTACTCAACTCCAGCGGAAAGTTACTAGAATGCCTATTAAGAGATAGACTGGAATCAGAACTAGAAGAAGGCAACAAACTTCACCCTAATCAATTCGGCTTTAGGAAAGGGAAGTCCACCATTGACGCATTAAACATGGTGGTCAACGAAGTAGATCGAATTAAAACTAAGAGTTACCGACATAGAGGATTTTTGGGATTACTCACCCTTGATATAAGGAACGCTTTCAATTCGGCTCCATGGCTGGGCATTGCAACTCAATTAGAGCATAAGAGAATTAGCCCATACCTTGTACGCATGGTACAGTCGTTCCTGTCACATAGATATGTCATCACAGAGTACGGCGGGAAACACAGAATGACGTGCGGAGTCCCTCAAGGTTCGATCCTCAGACCCACCCTCTGGAATATATTTTACGATCAGATACTTAGAACCGATACAGGCCTGAGCAACACGATCTTAGCTTACGCGGACGATCTAGCCCTCTTAAAAACTGCATCCACCTACACGATCCCCGAAGAAAAGATTCAGACGGCTGCGCTAGCGATTAAAAAAAATTAAGCTGGAAAGCATGGCGCTAAAACTGGGCCCCCTGAAAACCATTGAGCTGGTCATTCTTGTTGGACAACGCAAGGCAAAAGATCTGCCATTTCAAACCTGGATAATGAAGTTATAAAACTTCAAAAGAAGGTTAAATTACATGGGGATCTGGTCTGACTTTGGGCATGCAAAATGACTTCACACGTCATTGCGGTAAACTGTGGGATAAACGATCTGGCATCATCCAGCATCTGGCGAGAATAACTCCCAATATCGGAGGACCTCACGCGGAAAAAAGAAGACTTCTCGCTTCGGTAGTTCATTCGACCATACTCTACGCATCGCCGATCTGGGACAGATCTATGCGCTTCAAGCATTACGAAAACATGCTAGAAAGAATAAATAGGAAGTTAACAGTCAGGGTTGCATCGGCATACTGCACATGTCCAACAGTAGCAGTACTGTGTCTTGCTAAGATACCTCCAGTCCGTCTACTGATCCAGGAAAGACACCAAATATATAAAATGGAACTTCCTTCCGGAAAGAGGCCAGAAACATGGTACTAAAGCAATGGCAGACACGATTGGAAGCATATAGCGGATGGACAAAGATTTTCATACCCAATATTAAAGATTGGATAAAATGCGACCAAGCAAACACGGACTATTACATCACGCAAGCCATGACCGGCCATGGAGTATTTGGCGAGTATCTGCACAGGATTCGCAAGGCTGACTCTCCTCAATGCTGGTATTGCGAGGAGTCAGACTCGGCTAACCACACACTATTTGAGTGTCAGGCGCACGAAGATTTACGGGAAAACGCAGAAACAGTATGTGGTACGAACGGAACTACTTGTTCCCTAATGTGTTATCGATGCCTATGATCCTTATGATAGGCAGTCATTTTCGCGCCGTGCCTGCACCCCGTGTCCGCTGATGTTTGCGAGTAGCGGAGTAGTAGGCTTTGGAAACGTTGAATGTCAGAGATTGTTGATTTCGGCCCGGAGAGGACATCGTTTGTCAAGCTAGTTAGAATTATATTTTAAATATCAATTCTACAATATATTAATCTCCCGATTACACTGTAGAAGTAACGATGAGTTTAATCCAGCGTTCTTATGCCGTAACGGCGTATTTCTGACTTACTGACGACTATTGACTTGACTTTGACCTTTGACCATATCGTTTTGTAAAGGCGTCGCGTCGCGTCGGTTTCGAGGATCTATTCGGTCGTCTCAGATACGGGTACCCGTAGGCGTCGGATTTCGGATACCGTCGTCGGATCGGCAAAGCGCGAAAAGAAAACCGGAGGGATCATTCTGCTAGCTCTAGTGCTCGAAAATATTAGCGGAAAAAATGCAGTGCTGGAAAAATAAGCGTCATATCACCCCTACAAGTAACAGACTCCAGAAGATAACAGGAAAAGGTAGTGAGCCACACATTATCTGAACAAATCTCTTCTGAAAGGTATTTTAGAAATGGCTAGAAAAAATCGAGGATAAATACTAAGGTAATTTCACATAAATTCTAGTATTTTTATACAGTAAAAATTGTTGTCATGGAGACAGATTTCAGTTTAAAGTAATTGTTCGGATTTTTCGATTTCGCATTTCGGTGATATGAATCGCCTCGTGGTTCAAGAGGTCTCCAAGAGCGGGCGCTACCGTGGTCAGTTGATAAGGGTCCATTTCGCTTGCGAAAGAAGATGGCTGCGAACCCTTCAACAAATTGGTATGTTTTACCAGAAAGTAAAATTCATTGCCAAAATTAACAGTTAAATAAATATCTATCTATGGTCCTCTCTAGAGTGAACAAAAATTCTAGACATGTTACCTAGCATAATAGTTATGTTGAGTACGTGTTATTTTATCTCATTAAACTTCTTGTTCAAGCCGAAACGTGGAACGGTGGTTTTCAAACATGATTTTTATTGTGCTTTGAAATATTTTGTTGAGCTTTAATTAAAAATATTAAACAAAAGTCGAACAGTAATTTAATAATTTAAAAAAAAAAAAAGGTAAATAAAAAATATATCAAGTATATACAGGTATATTCAAGACTTTATGTGGAAAGGTAAAAAAAAATCTTCAAAAGTTTATCAGTTTTTCAGAAGTACCTACTATCGATTGTTTCATAAATATATAATTTATATTTTTCATATTGTTACGTTTTTCGTCGGTTTCGTGTGGATAGAAAGTCACAATTTATTTAAACACTATTTATTTAACACTAATTAACAAAAACAATAACGATAAAAGACTTATAGAACTATTTACAAACAATTTATAACTAAGAATTTATTTTGAATTTTAGCGCGTCAACTGCACTGGTATATTTATAACTGCCCCCTGTAGACCACAGCCGCCGGCTTTTATACCGACAGGTAAAGAACTCTAGAATAGTCCATAGATCGTTAGGTGCGTAGAGAAGAATTTCTTCGGAATGTTCTCGTATGTACTAGTCCATTCCAGTAGGACTCCTCGATCTTTCTCGAACGATTGAATCATTACGGTGTCTATTCTTTAATGCGATGTTAAGGTCATCTGAGGGCGGGACATATAGTTAGGTTAGTCGAGTCCACACGGGTCCGCAACACTGCCCTCTTCTTAGGCACATGCTCGTCCCGAGATGTACACGGTGAATGAAGGTATTCGCAAAGCTGGCCCCTGGTAAATTGCGAAGTCTGGTAGAAATAGCAGTCCACAGTTTTCTCCCCGATCTCAGCTTTGGGTTGTGGCAGCAAACGAGGATCTCTATTCCCGTAAATCTGAACAAGACTTCAATCATGTTCCGGATTGTACGCCAACTCAAACCATCGAGTCCACACGCCAGCTTCTGAATGGCTAATCGTGCAATGTTGTTGTTTAGCAGGGCTTCTCAGTTCAATCAGGGTCTCCCATAGATTGAGATAAGTCGGCTTACCTCGGGGACCATTCCTTGGCGACCAGGTAGAAGATGTGACTTGCTTGACCATGTGCATTGTCGGTTAGCCTCAAGACGCTTCAAACCTCTGGATCCTGTCGGCGTAGTTCGCCGACACGCCCAAACTTCTCATTGAAAGTCGCAGCGATTCCTCTGGACATCCGCAAATCTCGAGCCCCACAATGAGCGAGCGAATAATCAGGAGGCACGGAAAAGAGGTCTCGTTGATCTCCTTTGGTTACACCATAGCGAGCCTTCTCACCGCTGTTGTATCGGGCCATGAAATCATCAAAGGACATCTCCGAATCAGGGGATCAAAGCTGCAGGTTCTCACGGTCCCAGCACGATCTCCTATTTCGCCTTGGTAGGGGCTCAAACGGTTAAAATGGACTACCCTCGGTTTCCTTTTGGCAATTTTCTGATACGGTATACGACGTCATTAATCCTATCCATGACTTCGTATGGCCCTTCCCACGAGGATTGTAGTTTCGGAGATAACCCACGACGTCTCCGCGGGTTGTATAGCCACACCAAATTCCCTGGTTGGTATCCCCATGCTCAGCTTGAATGTCGTAGTGCTCCTTCATTCGGTCACTAGCGCTTTGAATATTTAGGCGGACTCGCTGATGGATGTCGTCCATCCTTTGACGTAGTGTGTGGACATAATCTTCTCCAGCGACATATTCTCCCGGTCGACAACCAAACTTCAGATCACAAGGTAGGCGTACTTCCCGTCCCATAACGATGCTGGCTGGAGTTTGCCCTGTAGATTCTTGGACGGATGAACGATAGGCCAACAGGAACAGGTGAAGAAATTTGTCCCAGTCTCTTTGGTGGTCAGAGACTACTTTGGTCAAATAACGGTTGATGGTTCTGTTCATGCGTTCAACCATCCCATCGGATTGTGGATGCAGAGCAGTCGTCCTAGTCTTGCGGATGTTAAGGACCTCACAGACGCCTTGGAACAGATTGGACTCGAAGTTTCTTCCCCGATCTGAATGAAGCTCCATGGGGACACCAAACCTGCAGATCCATTCTTAACAAGGGCATCAAAGAAATCGTGGACGCTTCTTGATTTCGCAACGCGTAGG